AAAAAAAAAAAAAGGATAAAGGCAAAGAAAAAAAAGAAAGGACTGCCACATCGGACTCTTAATCCTTCCAAATCTCCTTTCTCAAAAGCTCTAGCTTTGCAGCGCCACCAAGCGTGGATTCTGCCTGAAGCAAGGGGAGCAAAGCTCGTAACTTCGGCGCAGGGGCCTGGCAAGCGGGGCCACGAGTCACCAGAGGGACGTGCTGGCAGAGAAGCATGTCAGGGTCCAGTGACAAGCTGAGCTCCGGGCTTGCACGGATGGGGTTCCTGATGTGACGGTGGCAGGTTCCCCTTCCCACGGACCCCCGGTGACACGACCCCCCCAGCGGAGACACGTTGAGGACAGCGCAGTTACAGGTGGGCATGGGTTTTTATTTTCAGTGCACGGCAGTACTGATTCTCATCAGCAACAAGCTTTATTGGTTCCAAAAAATATATATATATCCCTTTTTCTCCCCCGTCTTTTAAAACTCCTCTTCTTCCCGTCTCAGTGGACAGCATATTTGAATTTCAGATTTGCCGGTTTACGGCATTTTTTTTTTTCCTTTAAGAACCATATAAATACATGCAAAACGTTGTACAGAGAGCTTCAATAATATCGGAACGCAAATACAGATCGGGTGCACTGTTCGGCTGAACTGCGAATTATGGTAACACACACTGGGGCGCACACTGCTGCTTGGCTGTCGCCATGTTTGTTGATGGCATGCAGACCACACTAGTCAATCTTTTGTTTTGTTTGGTTTTCTTTTTTATACAAAAATACCAGTGCTTGTTATACTAATTACTGAAAAAAAAGAAGAACAGAAAAAAAGAGACGAAGAAACTCAAAGTTCCTATCTGCGTGCTGATCGGCAAAGAACGACGTAGATAGATTTGTTGGCACATATATATGGCATATTCACATATGGCATATATACATATGGGGAGCAAATCTGAACCAAAGGCCAGTTCGGTCACGGGGAGCTCACTTCCCTCCGTCTCTCCTCGTCAAGAGGAAAGGGGACAGCAGGCCTAACAGCAGGGCTGGGAAGGCAGACTGGCACTGAGCTAAATGGAAGGGCGTCTGGTCTATTCTGAGGAAAAGGCTGGAATGGCTTCAGAATAGCAGGCATTTACAAGTGCCTCATCCCCACCGCTGCAGCGGGTGGTCCCTAGATACGGAAAGTGAGGAAGTGTGCACTTTGTGATGGTGTCCCAGGCTGCTTCGATCGTTAGGCAAAAGAAAGCAGGAAAGAAAGGAGGTGAGGCATTTAGAGGTTGCAGGACACATGCGAGCTTGCCACACCCCCCCCCCCCCCCCCCCCCCCCCCGGGTTTTCGGCAGCGAGGTCAACGCTCAGATATAACGGTGCAAACTCTCCCCTCTGACGCTCAAGTGGAAGAAGAAACCTAGACCCTAAAGAACCCACAAGTGTCAGAAGGATTGCTCGGTGGTCTAACACCTTTAGGGATGGGGGAGTCACTTCAGAGGGCACCTATGGGAAGGACCTAGCCCCAAGATTACCACCCGGGGTTAGAACCAGCCTTTGATTTTTCCACTTAGAAATCTATCCCCCGTCTAATATATTGCACACAACATTTCTAGGGGAGGGGAAGTCCCAAATCAGATCCTTGCACAAAGACTCATTAAGGGAAAACTCCTGGGACAACAGGAGGTGAAAGAACCATAAAAAATGCAACCCCCAAATCAGAGCATCCTTGCAGCCCGAGAGATATTCGTGTTGTGGGTACCACTCTGCCAGCTACCCATCAAGAAACAAAATCCAACCAAGGCCCCTGATCTTAATTCACCAGTCGCTGAAAAGCCTGGCACCCATCTCCATGGGGGACATACCCTCATTTTCTGCTGGTTATCCCTTCTTTTTTTTTTTTTTTTTAAATTTTTTTTTTTCAACGTTTATTTTATTTTTGGGACAGAGAGAGACAGAGCATGAACGGGGGAGGGGCAGAGAGAGAGGGAGACACAGAATCGGAAACAGGCTCCAGGCTCTGAGCCATCAGCCCAGAGCCCGACGCGGGGCTCGAACTCTCGGACCGCGAGACCGTGACCTGGCTGAAGTCGGACGCTTAACCGACTGCGCCACCCGGGCGCCCCTGCTGGTTATCCCTTCTTGCTGGATGCTTTCCTTCCCATTCACAGTCTACTGCCCACTTTTCTAGGTTCATCTAGGATAGTAATTTCCCCTTCTCCCCATCAGACCCTTTTCAGATCTAAAGCACCATATTGGGGGAAAGCTTTAGTAACTTGTGCCATATTGACTCACTGCCAGTTGGATCACTAAAACTGAATAGAAAAAAAACTTATATAAAAAACATATGCACATAAACACTTAAACTTACTCAATTCCATATCAACAAAATTTATATTAAAAAAGTCTAGAACCCAACAAATTTTTTTTTTTCCCTAAGTATAAAGATGGCTGTTTGGAGAAAGGAAGTACGGTGCATTGGTTTTCAAACCAATTACAAGTATACTAAGTCACCTGTCATGTCAAACAGCTGGTTATATGCTCCTTCCACAGGGTAACATGACAGCACTTAATTTCGAATCCTTTAAACAAAATACATATGGCTGACTCAAAAATATCAGTTTCTGATCTAAAGAAAACTATATTTTTTGCATAATATTTCTCTATTTTTTTTCTCTCCTACCACGGAAACTAGAATACACACAAAAACCATTGAGCTTAAACAAGTAGACACAAGCTCTCAAGAGTAACCTGTCAGGCACCATGAGAGTCTTTTGGGAGCAGGAATGGTAAAATAGCCTCCAAAGTTTGTTATTGGCTTGTTTTTCAAACTGATCTGAGGTAATAAAAGACTTGACAGAACGAAATCTTCCAATGTACTTAATAAATATGTATGTGCACACCTAACACCTTGGGTGAGCTGTTTTGTCCCCACAGGAGTATTTAAGACAGAGAAAAGATTGCTGAAGCACGTGACCCTTATAAAACCCAAATCAAATTTGGTGGGTTGCGTAGGAATGGGGATGGGTAGGGGGTATTGTTTCCTTGCTCTTTCTACCTCGGACAGCTCAGATGGAAGGGGTAAGGGATGGGGGATCTAGAAGAGAAGGCCAGAGAGCATAGGTTCAGGCCACCTTACCGTCACAAGTGGACATTTGGCAGTTCATAAGAGCCTCGAGACCTACTCCCTACTCCCATCACTCTTGAAAGAGGGGGACAGGCCTCATTTATTTAATGGGAACCGGTAGACATGAGCTAACAATCCCTGCACAGAAGAGCTGATGTCCACATCAGCAGGGATAAAAATGAAGCTCCTGCAAACGTGGCTCCACCTTGTCCCATTAAGGAACACTTAAAAAAAAAAAATCTCCTGGCAAAGTCCCCAACTCCTGAGAGGCAGGGAGGAAGGGGATGCTTTGGGCAGTGTTCAGGGAGAGAAGGCACAGGGCTTTACAGTCGAGCACATTCTGGGGAGGGCCTCGAGTGGGTCATGTGGGAGAAAGGGAGAGAGGGAGGAGAGAATTTCAGGGTGGGTCTTTTGCTCCTTCAAGTCAGCAAAATGTCACTGGAGTCCACTTGGGATGTGTATTTTCAAAAGCAGAATATTTGAGAAAGGTTGGGACCTGTTCAGAGACCAGACGAGTTAGGGGCCACGAAAGAGCAGAACAAGAAAGATGAAGGGTATGTCAAAGCTGGTACTTGGGCACCTAACCTCAGAGTGTCTGGTTTTCTCGGACGAAGGGTTTCTCTGATCCTGTTAGGATGGCCCTTTGGCCTCTCCCAAGGCTTCTCAGTACTCACTTCCCCAACAATCAGGTCCTGTCCTAGAAGAGCCTTGGCAGAAGGCCTTGAAAGCGGTAGTGGTCAACCCAAGGAGGATTGCACAAGAGTTGGCTTTGATGGTCTGTCTTGTCCTAGAACTGCCAGCTGTTGGTCCTCAATATCCAAGTCCACTTAGGAGGCAGGGCCGGTCTCAATTAATTCCTCTGCTACCACTTTGGGAATAGGAGAACAATCAGGCTTATGGTAAACATTGCATACCAAACATATGAAAGCTTCATGGTCAAGGCTGAGCTCCCTGGCACTTAGAAATGATACACACCTGACAAGATGGCAGTTTAGAAGTGGAAGGTAACCTGACAACAACAGAAACACATTCTTACCAGCTCTCAATTGCTTCAAAAGGATCTTATTAGCAGAGAAACCTTTCCTCCTCTGAGACTAAGCCAAGGGTTCCACTGGGGCCAGAAGGGAGAATGGCCAAAGTTGACTCAATTCAGCCATGTCCTTTCCAATTTCTCAATCATCATGACAAAAAAAAAAAAAAAAAAAAAAAAAAAAAAAAAAAAAAAAGAAAGAAAGAAAAAAGAAAAAGAAAAAAGAAAAGAGAAAAGAAAAAGAAAAAGGAAAAAGGGGGGGGGAAAGAAAGAGTGAAAGTAAGGAAGACAATGGTCACAAAAGACCAAAAGAACCTTGGGGAGGTTTGACTAGAAGGGCAGAAAGAGCTAGAGGGCTTTAGGTGTAAGGTTTGAAAATGGGAAAGTCATTTTAAAAACAACCACTCTGTAAGATGATTCTATACATTCCATTCCTATCTCAACACATTTCGTTTGGGGATATTTTATCTCTCTGAACCCTCAACCTCGCTTATAAATGGCACAGACTCATAGGGTAAAATCCAGAAGTCAGGAGTTGATGACATATGTATACATACCGGGAAGAGTCTGGGTTGGGGTAGATGCCAAGAGGATTGTCATCATTTCTTTACACATGACAACTGATACACCCAAGGGGTAGATTCTACCATTCATTACCTGCCTGGGGTTTGACTGGGTCCTGCTACAAACCCCAACTCAAGTTTAAGTTGAAATCCTTGTTGGTCTGTACTCTTGCCTCTTCATGGTCAGGTGGGGGTTCACACATACTTGGGAGCAGCTGACATGACAGTGAAAAGTCCCATCGTCACCTTAGAGATGGGACAGATGAGAAAGGAAATGGGAAAAGCGGGGACGGGAGCCAGAGAATGAAGTTCAAACTGATGTCTCCAGGCTGTGTAGAGGGCTGTCCGCATGGGAGGCAACGATGTGCACTTGGCTGCAGTCCACCGCATTGTTGTTCTTGTTGGCATATGGGGTGACCTCACCATCCAACAGGAGCACCCTAGTCCCAGCCTTAGGAGCCTGTTCGAGATCTTCCTCCTCATGCTCATCCAGGAGTGGTGTTCGTGGCACCTCTTCATCTATGGCGAATTCAGGGTGGGTCATGAAGTTGTGGATGGAGTTTTGGTTCTTGGGTTTCTGAATGCTTTCGTGGAGGGAACTATGGAACGCTTTGACCACTTTGATCTATACCAGGGGAAGGAAAAGGAGGACGAGAAAACACGAAGGTGAGAATCGGCCAGTAGAACAAAGAACTGGTGGTTGGAGGAGAGAAACAAAACCCAAACGACAAGACACTACTGCTCAACAATCAAAATCAAACACATAAGAAATCACGGAACACCAGGAACATCAACTTCCAAGCACGGGGTTGGGGTGGGGTGAGTAATGGCAAACAACTGAATATTTCAAAAGCTGCATTAAAAAAAAAAGAAAGAAAGAAAGAAAGAAAGAAAGAAAGAAAGAAAGAAAGAAAAAAAAAAAAAAGGTAGAGAACCCAAAGCAAAGTTAGCGTTCCCAAACAATCCATTCTTCAAACGAAACAGAAAACAAAGATTCATTAGTTCTTCTGGATGGAAGGCAAGGGCATTGGAACTAGGTGCAAATTAATAGCCAAACTTAAAAGATGATTCAGACACGTGGCTTTCTGTGTTGAGGCCAAACATTTTGCGAATGTGGAACGGAAAAATCACACACCGACGTTTAGTTATCTGCTTAAACCCCTTAAAGAGCCAAACACATACAGGATATACTTTGGGTGATAAGTGACCATGGATACCGTGCAGCAAGGCAGACAAAACAATCTTCGTTTGTGTTGGCAGCATGCAAGAAATTGAGACTCTCCAGCTTAATAGTTGCTCTGTCAGGGAACATGCATACGCTTATATCTTGCCACCTCAACCATGTCCCCCTTCCCCCAAAGAAAGCAGAACTCCACCGTTCAGGCCCTCCCCTGGCAGATGGGGAGGAAATACAGGTATCAGAAGATGCCTTCCTTCTGACTACTGACAGAAGAGGTGGCCTGCATGATTCAAATGCGTGTCGTGTCTCTGATGCACAGCACCTGTGTCGGGCCTTGTGGCTCTGTCCAGCTGTTTGTAAGTTGGAAGAGGAGCACGATCTTAGGCGGAGAAGGGAGAGGATGGGACCAGGAGAGAAGGCACCCAACCCGGGAGGCCGTGCTACAGACAATTTGTAGTTTTAACGGGCAGAGGGAACCGCACTGTCCTAGAAGTGTCAAGGTCTTTTTTTCTACCGTACAAAAAGGGAAGGGATTCAGTCAACTTAGAGAAGAGAGAAAAATCAACAACTGATTCCCATGACCACCTTGCGCCTTGTCCACAGGCACTAGCTCTTTTGGCGGCCTGCTTTTCTGAACCGTAGGCCTCTCTCAAGTATGGTTTAGAACCTGGGTTAGTAGAATTGGGGTAGGGGCAGGAGGTTGGATCCCGACAGGTTGGAGGGAGAGGCTGGGGGGAAGAGACGGTGGTGGTAGGGCAGTTTTAGTTGTTGGGAGGTGGCTGATTCTAGTCTCGTCCAAAAATTGTTTCATCAGAAAAGAAATGGGGGCAATGCGGGAGAAACTGCTTTGTGGGGGAGGGGCAGGGCGAGGAATGATGGATGTCGGCGTAAGGCACCTCTTCCACCCCTCTGCTGTCGCAGCAGAGAATGTGTCCCTGGAGAAGAGGCAAGAATGTGCACACAGCAGAGACACAAAGAGTCAGGCCGTGCTTTCGGTCATTGTACAGAACCTTTAAGACGAATGCGCCAGGAGGATCCACTAACGTTGTGTCTTTGCCAGCCGAGGCTTTCCTCCACCCCACAACAGCACGGCAGGACCCACCCGGGACTGAGGGTGCTCAGAGCTTAGAAGGCAAAGGACTCTCTGCCACTGGGTCGGAGCAGCTCAACGCTTCCGCCAAGAAGAAGCAAGGAACCTGGGCACACGTTCACCACGCTGAACGGAAAGTAAGGACCTACTTTTCCACCCTGCTAGGACTTTTAGTGACCATCTGACGGGTGAATTTTACCTGTCGTGTTGCTCTTTGCTCCAGATCTAGGTCAGATCGGATGGAACAGAGGCTCAAGAGGTGGGTTCAAAGCCATGTCACCCCCCCTGTAGGAGTGATGGCATGGCCCACGCTTTCCACCTGCTCTTGAGATTTCAAAGTGTTTAACAAGTGCTGCTGAAGAACGGGTACCTTTATACCACCGGTTGCTTCTCTTCAATATCAGTGATTTTCAAACTTCCTGCTTCTATTTTTTTTTTTTAAGCCACTGAATACTTAACGAAAACAACTCTGTGTGAAGTCCAATACAGAAAACAGATTTTTAAAAACGGGGGTTGGAGTCAGGGTCTGGAGCCCTGTTTTCTGGCTTTTCCTCTCACCTGTTGGGGTGATCAATAACATTGTTACAGGTAAACAGTAAGGGAAATAAAAGTGAATTGGAATGGGTAGATGGAAAAATAGGGATGATTTCTTCTTTGGGGGAGCAAGGAACAGTCATCCGGCTAGACTGCAGGGCTTCTAGAATCTAAAGGGAAACCAGCATCCTGCATAAAGAGCTCAAAGGAAGAGGGGTCAGGGAGCTAGGTGGCACCATCTAGTGGCCTGGCGGCAGAGAGAAGGGAGAAGGGTGCCAGAATGCTCCTCGGCTCCAGCACTGGCCTCAGAGAGTATGTAACACAATCACACAGATACATCATCACCAATCCACCCCAAGCAGAGGTGGGATCCTCCTTTCTTGATGTCTGGTGCGTGAGCCGTGTAGGGGGAACAAGACACAGCTGGTGAAGAGGGTGCTGTGAAAGCCATTGACACTCTCCCCTCGGCCAATCAGCCCTTCCTTCCCCAGTTTTCATCTCCCGAAACCGCTGGGAAATGACACCTCTGTGGCCCCTGTCCTATGGGTGGAGTCACGGATTGACGGGTAACTCTTTCTCACGTCTTAGGAGTCCCAACCAGGCTGGACTTTCCATTAGGTATAAGGGCTAAGGGCCACTCTCTGGAGCTCTATGAAGGGGCAGATGAAGACTCCATTTCTTCAGCTATATTCTACAGTTTTCTGTTCCCTTTTCAGAAACCAGGGGAAGAGAAGGGAGTAGGGCTTTCCTATAGAGGGAAATCTTAAAGATTTATCTACAGAAAGTTAGATAAATAACTGAATTCACTTTGAGATCTGGAATGGGGAAGGGGGTCTTCAAATGCGTGACTATTTCTTCTAGGACGGCCAAGTAAGAAGGCACAGCTGGAGAAAGAGCAGGCGTGGCTGTGTCTCTTGACTGATTTTCTATCTTTGAGGGTGTGGACCACACCTTCTACCGGCAACTCCCTAAGAGCCCAATGGGCTCTGTCTTCTGCTTAGTCTCTTTCTACCTTCACATCACAGGGACATCTGCCACTAACCCTTCCTAAAAGAAGGGCAAAATTAAAAAAGAACAGATGCTAGTTAAAAGGACAGGGAAAAACTAGATGAAAAAAGGAAATAAGAGAGGAATATGGAAGGACCAGAGAGAGAAGGGTAGGACTTATTTTGTTCTTTGACTGCTTTGGGGCCTAGGAAATATGTATCTATAGAAATATGTATCTGTAGAAAACCCCACCTCCTATATGTCACCCCAGAACCCTTAGAGTTGGCTGAAAAGACAACAAATAATCTAAGTCTGGTCAACCCGCACAGGTCACAACCACATGAACCATAGACAATGCAACTGTTCTTTCTTTACCTCCTTGTTCCAGGTTGGAAGTGGGGGAGAAAGAGATAAATAAAACACTCAACTATCTGAAGCTCACAATAAACTTCATACACAGAGACTCCTTCCCCACCAAGTACCTTGCACTATCAGCAAAGAGCCTTCTCTCACCTCTCTGTGTCCCGTTGGGGGAAGGTAAAGTGACCAGGAACAGGAAGGCAAAAGCATTAGCAAGAATCCAGTAATCTACCGAAGGGAACACCAGATCTTAGGTTACACACTGGCAGCATTCCAATTGATAGTTTGGCTGCGAAAGGGGTTCCTAAAACCTTATATGCACAATAAAACGCGGAGGGCTGGCTACGGCCGACACAATCAAACTAGAGGAAAGGAAAAGCAAACAAAAACAAAACAAAGCAAAAGCTGCTCTTCAGAGATTCCTTAAAAAAAAAAAAAAAGTTGGAGTGAAGAAAAACATGTTATGTTGACCTTTGCCTATACATTTCTCCTGCCCACATGTGAATTCAATTGGTTTAAAGTCCCTGAAAAGTTTGGTTTAAAGTCCCTGAAAAGTGAAACCTTAGGGACACTTAGCCCTGTGCATGTGAACTGAACACCTTCTTTTCTTCACACTCAGCTACTCTATGCCAGTATGACCAGCTCACGACAGAGAGGTAGCCTAAGGGACCGACTTCAACACTGGCTCAATTATGACAGATCTACTGGTAAGAAAACCCCATGGGAATGTAGCTCTCTTCATACTCATTTTCAGGAGATCTGAAACTTGCCCCCAAATGAGGCGAGTGCAGGGTATTCATTGGCCTAAGCTCACATCTAACCTTAGGAGATAAGGTTTAGATTCCAAGGAGCAGGAGGAGAGGAGAGGAACAACATATCCAAACAAAGCAGAACAAACAAACAAAAAACTAAAGTAAAGCAAAACAAACCAACACAAAACTCCAGGAAGAAACGAGCAATGCATAGGAACAATCAGAAAATAGGATTATTGCCTTTAAAATGGCTATGGTTTAATAGTTTTTCAACACTAAAAAAAAGTAAATAAATAAAAGGGCACACAGCCTGGTTTGGGAGTGGGATTTCTGTCCCATTTTTCTTCCCTTAAGTCAAAGATCAAAGGGAAAAACCAAAAGGAAAAGATAACCACGGTTGGTTAAAGTGGATGCCACAGTTGGTTAAAGTGGATGCCACGTGCTCTCTTGTGGTCATTTTAGCAAATCATGCATCATAATAGACTGTCACTCACTGCCCAGAGTAGGAGGTGGAACAGCAGCAGGAACAGAAGTGGTGGGGGGAGATCTGACTGGCGCAACTGTTACATAGGATGAGCTAGGAACATGTTTTACATCAAGGTGTTGACCCATGGTCTGTCGCTTTAGGACTCCCTTAAAAGAGGCTCCCGTCTGGAATGTGTTAATTACGTCGATCTGCAAAGAATCAGAGAGTGAGACAGCTTTGCTCCACAGTCAGAGAGGGGTGAAGAAAGAGGCAGGGGGTGGGGGTCCTGGAGGGTCAGGGAAGGGGGGTGGAAAGTGCTGGGAAAGGGGGACAGGAGCCGGGAAAAAGAGCGACATTCCCTCAGACACAAAGCAAGAGTGAGGAGAAGGGGGAAAACCGTTATTTGCATATTACACTTCATTTAAGGAACAATTTGCCGTGGAGTCCAAATACCCAGCCAGAATCCAGTCTTCTCTTCCCTTTTAGCCTATGAAGGACATTTTAGGTGTGTGGGTGTCCAAATGTATCTAAAATGTAAAGGTACTTCTCCACCCCATTGACTCCTGGCAGATAGTGACAGCTTATTCACTGTGCTGACCTGTCCTCTGAAAAAATAAGGCATGGAATTTAAGACACAAGGCAAAGTATAGATTACTGAATTTTGAGGCTCTGGAACCTCTGAATCAATGAAATCGACGACCTGTTTTTGCAGGTTTTGCAGGAATCTAACTCCTGTGTTTAAAGCAAAAACAGAGGCATGGAGTAGCCCACACACAGGTGGCCGGGGTGGAAAGCCTCCCAGGCCACGACGGCTGGGCTCACCTGCTTCTGGGTTTCTTCTCTGGGACACCCTCTCCCGGGGCTGAAACGGACAGAGCCCCTGAGAAGGGAGCTGAGGAATCCAGCGGCCAGGCTCTTGAGTGAGAACGTTACTAGCTGCGGTCACACACTGGAGATAAATGTCTGACAGATGTCTGACAATGACTCAGTAGCCAGATCCAGGGAGGGGGAGGAAGCTGGCCGGTGGTGGTTAGTGGCTACAAGTCTAACCCACACAAGTGGCCTCTGGTGTTCTGTGTGCTACTTCTCAGAGACAGAGGTGAATTCATGCCATTTGGTTTCCAGCAACGGTCTTGGTCTGGGGCCTGGGGCAGACCTCCCGTCCTTACCCCTGACCCTGAGGTGACAAGGAACAAATCAAAAAGAATTCCTTTCTCCTTCAGGATCTGGTTGAATCATCTCAAAAATGCCCACAGGCTTAATACCAAGGGCTGGTTCCATTTATGTGACTTCATTTCCCCAGGTGGGAAGGTGGGAGGGCAGGCACCTTATGAGTCAGACCGTTCTTATTTTTAAAGCTTCCCGAGAAGCCGTGAAATGTTTAGGGCGCGTTTCTGGATTCAGACCAAAGTTTGAGCTAAACTATCATCCCTTCATCACGTTATATAGTTTTTAGTTCCAGGGGACTGAGGAGCCCAATCCCGTGGTAGGAAAGGGTTTGCACGTGGGGAGGACAGAGCTACGGTGCACACTCCTTCCTTAGTGCCTGTTAGTGTTACAAAGTCCCAACCTCCACAGTGAAAGTGGATCCCAGGGTTATCTTCCCAAGAGTCTAGCCCTTAAGTTTCCCAAGCTTCGGCTCTCTAGTGCTTTTGGGTCTCCCTAAACTAAAGGGACCAGGATGGGACAACAGCTGGGCAACACCTGTCATCCCCCACGTGTGCCAATGAGAATGACAATAAGGACCAACAATCAGATGGCGGGGGTTTCGCTAGAGCCCTGCTGAGGCCGACCGGCTGATGCCAGGAGAGAGCGTCAGGTGTCTGTGACTCAGGTGAGCACAGCCAGGCCCATTTGCTTATGGGGTCAGGTGCACACCGCCAATGGCAGGGATTTGGTCATGGTGGCATCTTCGAGGGTTGCCTTTGCTGCCTAGGCTTTCATGCCATTCTGGCCCAGCTGCCTCAGGCCCCCATAGGGAGAGGCAGTTTCCTAAAAGCTATGTAGGCAGGGAACCGAGAGGTATAGAGTTGAGGGAATGGAAATCGGTAGTGGAGGGGAAGGAAGATCCATGATTCTCAGCCCCCCAGGACAGAAGTCTGGCAAGGGGCCAGGAGACGCTGGAACGAGGGAATCCTGGCTAAGAAAAAAAAATCACATAGGAGGAGGCAGTGACCCTGAAGGAGAGAAAAGCAGACAGGTTATTTTGAAAGGAGCAGACCTGAAGGAAAGCACCGGGCCTTAGAGACAGGAGCCAGTGGCCTGGAAGGGTGGGGGGGGGGGGGTTGGGCTCGGTTTTGGCAGGTCCCGTGGGAATTTCCCTCTTTGGGAGGAGGAGCGTGAGGGAGGAGCCCCCATGTTTCCCTACCTAGCCCTTCCTTCCCTTCCTTCCCATCTCCATCATTGTCTCGTCTGTGGGAAACATGTTTCCAGCATATTCAGTTGTGAAGGTTCATTTGATCTCTCTTCCCTATGCACTAAGGAGGTGGGCTTGACTAGGGAACTTTCTAAATCATCTGCAAGGCTAATTTTAGAGAGTGAACTTGTTTCTGGGCTCTCCAGCCAACCAGCAGAGAGGAACAGGCTTGCTCTCTGGGGGTGGGAAATCTCAGGACTAGGACAATAGAGGCATATGGAGCAAGGACAGGGCGAGAGATAGGATGACCGGCCTAGACCAGCTCGCCCACCCAGGAGAAGGTGGGTTACAGTTGCTGCGTGGAAAGGGAGGGAACAAAAAGTTGCTGTAGGGCTTCATAGGTGGGGGGCTCAAGCAGCATCGAGGCCATTTTACAAATTTCGAGAAGGGAAAAGGTTTGGGGGAATTATAGCTTCTTCCTTCTTGGGAAGCAAGTCTGAATCCTGCAAAAGATGCTTCGGCAGTGAAAGACTGTTGTCATTTATACACACTTAGCCACCAGATTCCCCACCATGGCCTTAAAGTTTGAGGATGAGTTTCTTTGTTCTCTTTGTTTCTTTGTTCTCCAGGATCCCTCTGGAGAACAGCTACATTATCCTAACAGCAGCTCGAGGATGTGCGTGCAGCGTATGCTGGAGGTGCTGGCTGAGAGCTATTGTCTAACTCCTTCCTCCTCAAGGGTGCGGAAGGACTCTGAACGTCTCCCACCTTGAAGTGAGGTCTGGTGCTTGCAAGAGACCTTACACGGGAAGCTTGCCGGCCCAACGGGAGGGTGGCAAAGTGGGGTTTAGAGCCAACCTGAAGCTAAAGGACTATGCTACCAGTTGGTGTCCCGTGCTCTAGGCCCTCTGACTATGGAGCCCCCGCAGCAGCTGCTGCCCGATCTGTCCTGAAGCAAGGGAGCCCGGGCTGTCCAGCAGCAGTGAGCCTTAGGGAGGGAAGAGATGTCGGCCACCAAGAACAGCTGCTGCCCTCCCAACACCTCCCAACCTGGAGACATTTCTTCTCCCGAAGGGAGGACAGGCCACTAGGAAGAGTACCTGAGTCTGGATGCGGTTCAGGCCCCGGAACCAGAGGATCTGGCCTCGGCGCAGCTCCATCTCCGCGTGGTCAATCTCATCCAGCCCCTCCGCGTCCTTGGTGATCTCCTCTTTCGTGGTGCCATGCCCGGCCTCCTTCAGGAACTTCAGGGATTGCGTAGGTATCGAGGAGATTATCTGAGAACAGGTGCAGCAAAAGGGGAGACACCAGAATCAGGGCGGGAGAGCTGTCACTCAGCTTGCACGGTCAGGCCCCCGGGTAGGTCAGTCTTCACCCTATCACCCATGGTGGGGAGGTAGGCGGTGCCTACCAACTGGCGGACCATCACGAAGGCCTTCTGTATTTGTGGACATACAAAGGAGAACTTCCATTCTAGTATCTGACCAGCCAGCTGCCTGGTTAGTTGTAGACTTCATTCTCCTTCTGTCTCAGTTCTTCCTTTCCATTTTGCCATGGATCTTTTAAGGGACGTAGAACTGTAATGCATGATACAGAGTAGGAAGGGACAGAGACCAGACCAGGGGGAAGACAAGTCTGGGGACAGGACGGTCACACTGCATGTGTATGGGCGAAGAGAAGAGTGCAGGAAGGGAATGACCCTCTTCTAGTTACCACGGGCAAAGTAATTCCTGTGTATGGCACGGGGGTGAAAGGCTACTAGAGGTTTCCTCGGGCTTGGGATGAGGGAGTGGGTGGGACAGGCCAAGGAGGGAGGGACAGAGGAGTATTACCAGAAGACATGGGGCAGTGGGTTGGGCTTGCAATTCAAAATAAACCACACAGGAAGCTCGATCACTTCTCTTCCACAGACAGACGAGGAGCAGACAGGGTTCGGAGGAGATGGGGACTGTATGAGCGTTCCGATGCAGAGTCAAGTATTTTGAAATAGGAAGAATGTCAAAGTGCAACTTTTGGATGACCGGAAGGAGCTCCGTGGTACAGAGGCCATTATCCGGCACCAAGGTTATGTGGCCACACGTGAGACCAGACGCAGACGGGAGTTTCAGATAGTCAGTGAAACAAGCAGGCTTCACCCAAGTATAAAAGGGACCCCCTGATCAATAAACACCGGCAGACAGACGGGGCGGAAGGACTTGTGTTAGGAACTGGGATAGCAATTAATCAGGGAGGCACCTCGGGGATATGAAAGAAGCAACTAGCAGGTTTATGGGGGAAGGCCTGCGGTCCCAGGGAAGGATCTCTGGGGCCACTTAGAGCAAAGCCACCCAGGGGGCCAGATGCCAGTCAGTAGAGAGTGGGGGCCTGCAAAGCAGAGCTTAGCCCGGGTCAGAGACGGGGATGCACACGGTGGTCATAGGGAAGGAACAAAACTTAACCAGACGTGATGATATTGTTATGATATTAGCAGCTCACTCTTACTGGGTATTTATGGGTCCTGGACATTGTTGTAAGTCATTGGCTGATCAACAACAATGAACAATGATCCTATTATCTTAAGTTGAGGAAACTGAGGCACAGAGTGGGTAAGACACTTGCTCGAAGTGATTCAGTTTGTAGAAGGGAGATGGGGATTCAAACCCGGGTGGCCGGTACCAGAATCTATGCTCTGAACTGTGTGATCTGCTTCTCTAGAGACCTTGCGAGTCTGGATATGTCTTAGATGAGGGTCAGGCATGCAACCCAGATGAGGTCGGGGTGAAAAACAGGATGCTGGGGAGCCCTTAACTATGTCCGCACAGTGGGGCGCCTGGGTGGCTCAGTCAGTTAAGCGTCCGACTTTGGTTCAGGTCATGATCTCAACAGTTCGTGGGTTCAAGCCCCGTGTCGGGCTCTGTGCTGACAGCTCAGAGCTGGAGCCTGTTTCAGATTCGGTGTCTTCCTCTTTCTCTCTGCTCCTCC